AGCATGGGTCCAATATCCCTCCCATGACTGCTTCCAAGTATTATGATTTTCCTTTTACTTTCAAACTTTCTTGAAAATGATTCTGATTTTACTACCCTACCCTCATGCTTCAATGAAACTGGGCGTTGCTGACCAACGTCCAGTGTGTCTGTTTCCAGAACACTGAATCTGTTGCTCAGTTTAACCTGAGAGGCATCATTAGCAGAGAACCTGCAGCACCTAGATTTTGAGTTTTTTGGTTTAAACCAAGTCTCTAACTTACCCTGCTCCCTACTACTACTGCTGACATTTCCAGCTTTTAGTCTACTAATCTCTTCCCTAGCTGCTTTTAACTCCTGCTCGAGGTGCCTGATTATCCCCTCCTGATGCTTAGCATGCTTCTGGTATTTACATGACATACAATTCCAAGGCATGCTTCTGTCTGATAAATTTGGACTGGAGCTTGCACAGTTTATGTGGAAATAGCAGCCATAGTTGTTACAAATTAAACCATTCGTTACCAACCTACGACAGGCTCCACACTTTCCTGAAAGACTAACACTCATCATTATAATATGTATATTAACAATACTTTAACTACTTTTCTATAGCCTTATTTAGTTAAAAGTCAATCCACAAATAGAATTATGTCACTTAATGCCACTCACAGCACACAATACCCCAAATAACCAAAAGTAACCCCAATTCACTTGAACTTCACTCACGTATTTCCACAAAGCAAATGGAAAGGAGATGAATTCACTAAATTATTTAACTTAAAAATTATCACTTAATCAACAAACAGATCTATTTAGTTTAAGGCACAACTCACAATACACACTACTACACTAAAAATATTCAAAACTATAAAATAACCTCAATTTACACGTATTTGAAATTGCACAGCACTACATAAGCCTAAGGTGTTGTACTTATGTTCTATTAAAACACAGAAAGGTTAGCACCTATCTATCTATTTTTGAGAAAAACAAGTTAAACAAAATATTACATAAATTAGGAAATATATAATATAATAGTGTATCGGTCGGTAAGCAAGAAAAAAAATAGTCACGTCAAAATCAGTATGGCGGATTGTTAGGAGTTTAGAATATTAGTAATTATTATATATTGCGTACTTATAAAGTAAAAACAAATTATATAGGGATAAAACTGACTATTTATTTAGTGACACTGACAAATCTAATATTATATAAACTGCTGAAGATTTAAATACGAAGAAAACTACGGAGCTACTTCTACTTGCTTACGAACCCTTAGCCCTCAAGACATTGAATACATTCACATGGAAATATAATTCCATCAATGAGAAATGGAATCCAGGATAAGTTTGTAAGCAAAGTAATAATGCAAATTACACCACTGTAATTCGTAACATAATCACGTTTGAGTTTACAGAGGCAACAATCGGTCCACGATGTGACAAGGGACATACTTTAATGCGTCTTTTCTACGTTGTGCTACTACCACATGTCGTAAGAAGATGCTCAGAGTGGACTATGACGTCAGTGCACCAAACACCACGCTACAATCACAGGAAAGATTAAACAAGCTTACTCACCTTTCACTACTGCTGTAAAATACGTCCGATTCGCGCAGTCACTTTCGTGAAATATCTAATCTGTTTCCCCACTCACACAGTATTTATGTTTGCCGGAAATGAATCAGAGGCAGCGTAAAAATGTCCACGTAGCTTTCGATGTGGCTGGCCGATGTACTTGGCCTCAGAATCATTGCGTAACTTCGCGCAATGGTATCACGAACGTCCAGGAATTCCAACTTCGACATCCTCTTGCAACACGAGAATGCTCATTGGCTATAAGCCGAAACTTATTACTTCATTTAACACTAAATGTATTATTATAGCTGTGTTTAACATCATAGAATCACTTTGTAGTGTGTCATGGAAGTAGTACATATATATAAATAAAAAGTTGTTTTGGATGTTTTCCATCGTCTAATAAAATTATAAAATTGAACGAAGTTTCGGAGATGGGGAGATAGGGATTAGCTCTATCGATTGGTCCCAACAGAGTAGGTTTACCTGAAGATGGAGTCCCATCTCCGAAACGTCGTTCAATTTTATTAGACGATGGAAAACATCCAAAAAACTTATTATTTAAATAATGCATCATCGTCACAAACTTTTATATTTGAAGTACATATATATATATATATATATATATATATGTGTGTGTGTGTGTGTGAAAGTCAAATGAAAAAATCATTCATTTTCAAAAGTGCTCAGGTAATCCGTTCTGATGGCATGAACATGCATACAATAATCGCTCTATAAAATACGTTCACTCCTGTGATGGGTCACTTCACTGTTTTACTGTTAAACCTAAATAATCATTCCACTTGATATAACACTGGTGAAAACTTTGTGTAAGCGGGCACGTAATTCGAAACTCGACGTATGGATGTGTTCTCTCATACTGAATTTTGGTTCGATAACATCACTGATTAAGGTCTTAGGTTGTTTCGATTGCAAGGATAAAAACTACCCATGTTTTTCTCGAATATCCGTGACATTCTTTTACTCTTACAATTATAACCGTAAACAAGCTTGGTAATTCGGTTTTCAGTACCCATCTGTAATGTCAAGAAATGCATCACTTATTATTAATATTTTGCAGAATTTAACTAACATAAGTGACGCCTTGAGCGGTAGGTTAGGTTCGTCTCAGGTCTTATATTCTTGTTTAATTTACGCCACAGAGCTGAACACTTTATATGCAGACTCTGTAATGGGTGTGTAAGGAATTGTATGAATTATAACAAACGGAAGAAATGATGACAGCAAAAACTGATCTTGAATTAATAAATCAATTTATACAGTTTAGATAACTTCGATGCTGCAGACGGGGCCAAATATGAGAGGCGCCAGTCTTCTAGACTCCCTAGTCATCAACTATTCATAAAAACACTTCATTCTTTATTCATCGGCTCCACTTTCCCTGTTTCCGGCCATCCCCTCCACGTGTCAAAGTTACTTTATACAATGACGAACTTCATGTTCGGAACAAATAACCGAGCTTGTGCTATATCAACTTTGTTGGGCATTTGTTGTACAGTCTGTACTGCTGACTAGGTCTACACGTGAATTATGCTGTTGTAACAAATTAACATCAAGCCCAATGTAGAATACAAAATACGTATACTCCAAAATGGAATACTATCCAATCTAGTTCTATTACAAACACATGAACAGAACTAAAGACAACTATTTGCAATTCACTTTTCTCATAACAGGGCATTTTGACCTTACAACGAGGAAGTAGAGTACAGAGGCTTAATAATTTGCACTCTTCAACATCAAATAGGATCACTACGCCAAAGACGAAAAATTAGTACAAATTTCTAAGACCTGTTCAATTGAGATAAATACGTATAGTTTGGAAGATAGTATTTATGGTTCATTTAATGACAATAGCTTGGACTATAAAGTGTTGAATGACAGATTAATTAATCAAAAAAGATACAGAAAGCCTGATTTAAGGTACTACCGAAGAATCTGCACAGAGGGACTTAAAAATCATAGAAAGCCTGTCAAGATAGTAGGTCTCTGGACCAAGAATGAATCTAGAACCTCCCGAATATGAAAGAGTGCTAGCATCCGTTTCCTGGAAACATATTACTAAATCTAGGGTGTGTTACAATTGATGGCATCTTAAAATCTGAAATATGGTGTAATTCATTAATAGCGTTAATGGTAACCGTGTTAGTCCAGCCAACTTTGAAAAACAAGAAATAAAAGTCTTCTGCCGTACAGTAGTATAGTCGGCGCAATAGTTTTTGGCCGGTGGAATTTTCAAGGGGAAGGCTAGGAGCGAGTCACTTGTGCGATAGTATAATGCTGACTGCACCGAGGAGCTTATCGGACTGAACGCCCAAACAAAAGAAATACACTGACCGTGCCACCTCAGGTACAGAGACTAGGCCCGTCCGCCAGTTCCGTAAGCTTCTGCACCGGCCAAAGACTACTGCGTCGACTATACTACGCATTCACTGATCAGACAAACTGCAACATCAGATAGATCCAGCTAGCCAAGCATTTTTAGCCCACCACAGATCAAAATGCGATCTAACAACTTTGAATATAGATCCCTAAAACCAAGTTTATTCAAAATCTGTTGTTCGGTTCTGGAGTTGAAACATCTGGACAGACGGACGGATTAACATAATAGCCATTCAATGTGTGCAAAATAGTCATAGAAATGTTCAGAAATATTGCAGCTAAAAGGAGGTTTGAGGTTAGGTGTGCCACATTTCTCTCTTGAGATGACAACACTATTTATCTTTAAATACTATCACTTTATATTTTATATAAAGAAGATAACATAATGCATTGTAATAAATTAATAGATACAACAGTTAAAGAAAATAGTGTACAGTCACAATTCACATAGATTACATTATACAACACTAAAAAAAAGGAGTTGTTCACATCAGCAAGAAGGATACAGACTTGCATTTCGTCTCATGCACACTTAGCTGATGGTTCGCCAACATGGATCTCACTGTAAGGTGGAAGTCAGGTCCACAAATCCACAGAGTTTTGTTTTAATGTTAATAATGGTACTATTTTTATGTAAGCTTATTTAATATCTTTAGTCTCATGTTCATTTAATAAAACATCAAGTGAGATGCTGATCACTGCCGTGCAATTAGATGGCATTAAGTCAGAAGATTCTGAAATGAAGTTTGCTTTTAATATAATCACAGCAATGGAAGATTGCAATCCTTAATGACTCCGTGACTTAAAATTACAATTATTTTTCCTTAAATTAATACAGCAAAGTCGCAACAACACAATGAATGCTCATCATAAGATTTTACGCCTGCATAAAATCTGTGTTTGCAGCAAAATGGTGTTACGATATTTTGGGATCTCACACGAGTGAGTATGCAGATGGCTGTCTTCTGCGATGTTGGACTGTGTAGCCCAGTAGAAGTTAACTGACATTTCAGAGATGATTGCTGCCTCCGTATCAGGGTAATCACCCTAATAATGGAGGCAGCAAGCACATCTGAAATGTCAGTTAACTTCTACCGGACTTCACAGTGCAACAACTCAGAAGACAGCCGTCTGTAAAATGCTATGTTATTCACCGCACACCTGTCAAACCAAACAAGTTTAAGAACTTAGTGTCCTGTAAATCAGCCATTTTGTTAACACTCATCTGCCATGATACTGGGATCAACCCGTTCTTCAAGTGCCCGAGCACTGCGGGTCCCAACTTTTCGTTGGCTCGATCTATAGACATTCGGTAAGACTCCTTGGACGAGGGATCGGCCCGTCGCAAGGCCTCTACCTGTACACAGAAAAGCGCGGACAAACATCCATGGCTTGAGTGGGATTCGAACCCACAGTCCCAGCGACCAAGAGGCACAATGCCCATGCCTCAGACCACGCTGCCACTGCAGACCCCCATCTGCCATGATGCCCTCAATAAAATGTGTTACACTGGTGTGAAATGTGTTCAGATGCTGGAAAATTTCCCTTTCAACATCTACTGTAATATGAGTACCACACTAAGTAAAGCATGCAGAATGTCCATTAGTTTGTCCAGTACCCTGTGTTAACCATATCAGTAATTGCCTACACACAAACACTATCAGAAAACACTCATATATAATACTGAGAAATGCTGGATGTATTGGTTCTCTACTTTGCAATGAGACTGACAGCAGAAAATATTAATAGCAAACTTCCATGCCTCAGTGAAAAACACTTAACCAATTCTTCGTTGATTTATCAAGTGAATTATATTCACTTTGCCGCAGGGATAAAAAAAAAAGATAAAACATGAGAGATGAAAACTTAATGTAAGAATTGAATTTTATACATTGGCAATAAGGAATTACCTTTCTCTGCTATTACTTTGAGCATATGTAAATATACTAGCTTCAAATTTCTATACATGATAATAACCAACAGGGCTTGAAAATTGTAGTCACCCAGTTGCCGGTGACAAACAAAAAATTCTGAATGGCACCTACCTTCCTACTTCGCCTTTCTCACCTAGTTACCAGATTAAAAAAAAAATTCAAGCCCTGATAATCAATATGGCACTGTAACTACAATTACTTTTCAGTATCTTCATATGCTAACATGGCCTTGCTGAAAACATTCACATCATCACAGATCCTTGTTCTAGTAAATAAATATTTTAAACCACAATACAGGATTATATGAACTTCAACGTTTATTTAACTCCTAAATATTAGAAAATTATTAATCTTTTAAAGCAGGGGTGAATATCATGTAATTCGAGACCCTTTACTGAATACTGATCCAGTGAAATCACTAATTTCTACAGTATTTTATATTGAATTAATATAAAATCAAGGAACATATAAAAAGGTTAATTTTGTTTGGTACTGACACAGAATAATTTTGGTGCTGAATGAAGAATTAACAATATGAGATAAAACACACCGAGCTCAAATTTAATACATCTTGAGAACAGCAACCAGGCAAGAAATTTTAATAATAAAGACTGAGAACAATACACCAGCATCAATATGCCTCATTCTCTAAATTAAATTAATTTCAGTCATCCAAAAAGTATAACACCACGAAGGCAGATAAGAGGACACGGAGGTAAAGTAGACAGTATCACATTCTCACAGATTATAATATGACCATTTTAATGAAGGGGACTAGAGTTTCTGAATTTCAATATCAAAGCACAGAAGCAAGCAAACTAAGAAAAGGCTGAGATGTTACAAAATGATTTGAAAACCTGACTTTGACACCATTTGCCTTTCAAAGATACAGCCATTTCAGAAAAGAAAAAAAAATCACTGTCATACCCAAAGCGAACACTGAAATGGCTTCATTTCAGCTATTGTAAACACACTATTGTGGACATGTCCAGTTTCATTACAATTTAGTAAAAAGTGATAAATACATTTTCTGAGAGAATAAAAATAGTTACACAAACAATTTGTCTTCTAACAAGTAAAGAAGGGGAAAATATTAACTCCATTTTAGATTGTGTTTTAAAATTTCACCCCTCCCTCCTTGTTCTGAGTCTCTTGCACAGATTATTATTACCACTGTAATAGAGTATCATTGAATTATATTGCTGCAGCACAGTCTGTTTTCTTAGAAACACATCCAGATTATTGCACTGGAATGCAAAGTAAAACACCTCAAAGTGTTAACATCAGATTGGTGAAATCCTTCAAATGAGTTCGCAACCTTTGTGGTTTTACTTATAGCTATCACCTCAAAGGGGTTAGAAATAAAGTATTATTAATATCTATAATTATTATTATTTGGCATGTACTTTATCAAGTTACAATTAAGTTAACAATCCTTAGAAATTTACTGCACAGTCTTTGGTTCTGTATTCTAAAGAAACCCACTTACAGCCGTATTTACACAGACCTTCAATGATGCACATATTCCACTACCCAGTTGTCCTATTCTATTACCCCGTTACTTTCATTGGGAAAAGTCAACAAAGGTTCACGTAAATTCTGTTCTTCTTAATGTGCCATATATAAAATTCAATAAATTGTGTATTCTCGATGGTTCAAGACTTACTTAAACACCATCACCAAATTTTCACTGTGTTATCCTTGAACAGAACAGATTAACACCTCATGAGACATCCAGTCTCCATGCGTGATATTCATGAGTACCAAACACATTCTGATCGGTCAAGGTGACACTCGAGACATATTCGGTCACATCAGCTGCTTCTCAGCATCACAGACACATTTATTTTGCTTAGCTGCACATCTAGATCTGTTTCTACAATTTGAACATACTGAAATAATTTAAGGCAATCATTAACACTTTAAAGCGCAGTAGTGACTACACATATCACCTGCTTTAATAATCAATAACTCTGCAGTTTGTTCATATGATTCTAAAGTAAACTGAAATTGTTTCCTTAAACAGCATTACCAATTATATTTGAAATCAAGAACTGTTGTGTTTTCTTTGAGAAACATATTGAATTTTTAAATATTATTTAGATGGGCTTCAACTTCAAATGGTTAATATCCTATATAGACTGTAATCTTACTGTTTCTTACCACGCATATTTTCTATTTTAACACACATTTTGCAAAACAAGTTTTATATCATTTTCTGCTTTATTGTCTTTGCTAATATGAAACACTGCATATCTGATACCCAATCCTATCTCTGATAAAAACTGTTAGGGTTTCTCCACTCCCCTAAATTCCCCAACAATAAAAGGTACCCGTTACTACATCTACCATGCTAAAATAATTTGTGAGAAAACTACTTTGAGCTGCTTGAGTTCAAGGGCAACATAAGTGTTGTGTACCTAATCAAGATTCACATAAAACCCATTTATAATGTCCTGCCATATACATCAGTTTTACTGCATAAATTCTAATATCCTCAGCACTTCAAAAACCACAACCAAACGCGGGTTAAACATCAAGGACAAAAAATTAAATTCGAGCCACTAAAAAGAATCAATTCATGAGACATACATCCATGTTACGGACATATTCTTGTTTAATTTTCAAAGTTATTTTGCTTTAAAAATTGCAGGAGAAAGTAAATTACATGAAATTGAGCAGTTTAGCAACTGCAGATAATCTGATCGGATTCATTAACATTCTCAAATATTCCCATAAAGATCACAAAAAAAAAAAAAAAAAAAAAACCCTGACCAACACTTACAGAATTGTTGAAAAACTTTGCACTTAAGTTATATTTCTTTTACTAGCAAACTCGGTTTTATGAAGGACATTCAAGGAGCAAGGTTTAAATCTTAATGTCCTATTTATAGACATACATTAATTTTTCTCTGTGTCTAACATCACAAATGGGTCAAAAAGAAGATACGAACAGTTTTAGTCTTACCTCTCAGTCATATTAGTTATCTCCCATGTCTTGATATGCTGTAGCAAACCATGGCATTACAGCTGTTAACAGTGTTCATAAAATGTACGAAGCACTTACATGTACAGCATTCCCTTCTCCAGGGAAGGAAACTGTTACGATGTTATTACAACTTCAACTTTTGGAGTCATGAGTTACAGACAATCCAAGTGAATTTCATACACCTTCAGTGGCTGTTAAATTATTTTTTGATTAATTTTGTATCTTGGAACAACAAGAATCTGTCCATGACTTCTCATATTGTCAGTTAATTGCTGAATTATGCAGCTGGTTTCATACCAAAACAGACTATGCTGTATCTTGGTTGCTTGCAACACTTTTTACTTCCCCATAAGCAACAACTGAGAGTCATCCTTTCATCAGTTTATAGTATAACAAACTTTTGATGTTGGAAGCAAATCTTCAAACTTTCCAAAGCCGAGTACCTTCACAGTACAGGCATCCATACTTCTATACATTCCAGATTCCTTATTGGACAGGATTTATATAATTTATGTTATTGCACAGACTTTATTACAGTGCCTGATTTTTTAAAATTCTCAGTGATGAATGAACAAATTACATTTGTTATACCTTTCCAGAGATCTAACAGTTTATTCTTGTTCCTTCTCATAGAAACAAAAGGAAAACATGCGTGCTTAGCAAATTTGTGTGGCTAAACATCACTGTCTGGGTCTGTCTCACTTCTTGGCTGGCCAAAGTTCCTTGTAATACTCTCTGACATGGAGCGTATATTAGCCAAATTGATATCCGTATCAGTAGCGACAGCTGCAAAATAGTCAATTCTATCAAGATCAGATACACTGTCAGGTAACACATTGATATCATCATCAGTCCTGTAACAATTGTCATATTCAGAGTCATAGAGGGCACTAAGTGAATCTAAACTCATCATTGCATCTGAATCAAATATTCTTGATGACGCACGAGAAGACATGCTGGTGTTATCATCCATATCCCCCTCATGACCTGCGTCGTTGAACACCGAATTCACATCACTCAGAGCACCTAAACAACATCAGAGATTTGATCACTAAAATTAATAAAAATACTTATACTACCACATAAAATCAATACATTGGTAATAATAATGTGGTTCATAACATACCTTGCCATCTACCAGATTCTGTAGAAATTTTTACCACCTCTTTACAATTACACTGAATATAATGAAATATGGTCCAGAGTACCTGATTTATCAGATGATTCCAAATTTGTAAGAATATCAAAATTCTTCAGATGTAATATTCCTGTTCTTTCTTTGAGAAAACAGTATGGACAGGCTGCTATGTTTCGTTTATTTTATAACCATGCAATCCAAACAGCAAATAATCCTAAATGTTCCAACAAATTACTAAATGTAACAGCATATGATCATATACAAAACAAAGACTACTCAGTGTAAAGGTAAAGAATGTACACACAAATGTTCAACTCATTTTCATTTACATTTCATTCTCATCACTTGGATAAGGGGGAAAAGTTATCAACCAAGGGACTGCAGACCACCAAGTAAGAGGGACTGTAAAAATTATATTGATGGAATTTATATGCTGCAGCTTACATAATATACTGGGATACTGGGAATGACCTGTTCTTCAAGTGCCTGAGCACTGCGGGTCCCAACTTTTCGCTGGCTTGATCTATAGACATTCGGTAGGACTCCTTGGACGAGGGATCGGCCCGTTGCAAGGCCTCTACCTGTACACAGAAAAGCACGGACAAACATCCATGGCTAGAGTGGGATTCGAACCCACGGTCCCAGCAACCAAGCAACACAAGGCCCACATCTCAGACCGTGCGGCCACTGCGGACGTCCTTACATAATATGGACATGTATAAAGAAAGATTACACCCAAAAATTTATTAACTTGCTATCTGCAATGACAAAGACTGCAGAGTAATTAATAAAGAGGTACACAAGAAATAATAGAAGGTGATGTGGAAGCTAGATGCAGAGGAACACAGAAAGGCGGTAAGTTGAAATTAGAAGATGTTAACATAACCATATTCGTAGACAGTCCCAATGAATTCACATAGATATCTTAGAGGTGTTTTCAATATTAAAAAGATGATAATGTTAATCAAATATAAGTAATCATTAGCAATCTAATTTCCAGAAATGTAGCAACTGCAAAGGTTACTCAGATGACAGGATGGTTCTATGATGAACTAAAGAAACAGGGAAGGAAGATGCTATGGTTTACCAGTATTTTAAGACAGCCAACTCAAATAACTGAGGAAAAACTTTAAACCTCAGTGCCTTGGCCAAGATTAGAAAAGGATACTTTTAACAAATATCAGAAGCATTACTGCTTGGTCGATATGATATATAATGCTGGACCTACCCTCAGCATCTGTGAGTCCTGTCTCATTCAACATGGATATATTCTCTAGTGCAGGATCATCAGTCGTGTATCCAGTAGACTCACGGTCAGCAAGAAGAGGTTCGGATGCAGCACCTTCGTCGTCATCGTCATCATCCTCTTCGCTCCATTCTGACTGGCTTGTCTCACCACCGAACACATTTTCTTGCTGCTGTTGTTGTTGATCTAGATGTTCCTGTTGTAGCTGTTTTCTGGCTGTTTCCTCAAGAATTCGCTTTACCTCTGCCTCCTAATAAGGATGAAACAAGTTAGGAAATATATGCACAGTGTAACAATTCTGGTGTGTCTTGCTAGGATTTGATTTTTGACCTCTGTAAATACTGCCAGTGATGAATAAAAAAATCTTTAAGCATGATTCCTGCATATTTATGAAATTATTGAAGAAAATTTGTTTCATCTAATTACTAAAATAAAAGCAAAAATGTTATACTACTATGACTACTACTAATTACTTACTAGTTCTTCATCACCAGACTTTTGTTTGCATGAAAGAAAATAGAACATTCAGATAAATGAGATTTGATGTTCTCAGGTTTGTTAACATTATGAACATATCAACATTGGTCTTGTGTGTTGTGATGCTGTGTGGACTTGTAGGAAGATACCAATGTTTCAGAAAGCCAAAGATGAAGGCAGTATGTTCCTCCAAAATATATACCTATAAGTCCATACAGCATTACAACGTGTAAGAACAATACTGACACAGTAAAATAAATTTATTCAATAAACCAAGTCATACTTTTCAGTAGTAACAGTAAATACACATACACTCAGAATTCAGTTCCTTCTTACATCACCATATAAAACACAGTCTTTCAAAATTTAAGTATGTGTTTTAAGTTCATCCTATATTTCAAATTATCACAATGTTATTACCATTTATTAAAAATATTGACATAGATGGACTTAGCTTCAGAGAACAAGGCATATGGCATCCTTACTTGAGTAGATACAGCATAGGAACATTCTCACCTGTCTTTCCACTTCCTCGACTATCCTCTTCTCTTCACGTTCAAAGCTTTCAATTTCAGCATTCTCCTTCTTCACATCATCATCATCATCATCATCACCAATGGTCTCACTTTCCAGGGTCTCACATTCACTCGTTTCCTTCCCGGTGCTTCTGTGATCACACATACAAATGAGCATCTTTGCTGTAAGACTACATAATGTAGTTGGGAAGAATCTGTGCACCTGAGGACCATTAGAAGTACAAGGCAATCGGACAAGAGGGGCGGGAGGGGGAGCTGATAAAGAAGCATATACTGTCCATACTAAAAACACAAATTTCCAAGCAGCATTATTTGTAGCTTGCCATCTCATTTCTTATGTCAATAATGTCTCTGGTTAACGCAGTATGTGCATTTGTTTTTCTTCTACTTGCAAGCAAGTGAAATAGGCAAAGCAAGACACTTTGGTCCTGGGTGCAATACATTAGTGGACCAAATGATATTCCTGTTCCAAAAAATATCTCAAACTACCAAAATTTACAAGAGCCTTGTAGCATTAGGTACTGAATCTAATACTCTACAATACCCATTTATCATTACCATTTAGAATCACCAATGTTAGTGACTATGAATATCCAAAACAATCTACACAAGTGCCTATTCCTAGAACTAAATTCAGAGAATTCTTTCAAAGCAATTATGTTAAAATTAGTGTATTATTATTTTAAGGATTATGTTTTAAGCTTCATTAAGTTCTCGTACAGGAAATGTATCTTGAATCTAGTGACACTAAGCTGTTAAATACCACTGCTTTCAAAATATTTCTGGAAACTACCATATGGACGTTATTGCAACATAATCTACAAAATCAACATCCAGTGCATTCTTGAAATGACATCAATTTAGTTGGTCTTTCATCCAATGAAAGATGAAAACATCACATAACATGAGATCATCAGAAAGTGTCTGATAGGGAAGCAGTAAAATACTGTGCTTCTTACATTACTATTATATAAGCAGTGACACACAAAAAATTACGAATGAGCACTCACTCTCTGGCTGGCAAAATTTTGAGATACTCCAAGCAAGTTGCCTCCCATACAGAGCAAACATCTCCTTATACCTCTCCTTACTGATCATAGCACACTAAAAAATATGTAAAGATTCATGGTCCATGATATAATGAGAGTCAAAAATAACTTTAAAAATCAATTTCATTCGTGAGAAATTCTGCTGAAGCTTTGCGACTTCCAGCGGTAATAGCAACTTCCACATGTAAGGATTCATTTAGTTTGTAGATCACATAGAAAACAAAATATAGTCACCCGACTGTCTCTACCATCTGATGATCAGAGTGCAACCTCTGTCACATTGTTCTCATTTTGTGGTGTTGATAACTGTTCATTACACTGGTCATCTAATGATTCACAGCATCCTTGAACCAGTGATTCCTCCCCAAAACACACTGCTCTGACAGATCATTTGTTACCATCTGTCAGTCTTCCACATCAATGGCAACATTTTATGATAGATCACTGCTCAAGGCAATTAATTTCCCCACTCCGAAAGTTTCAGAGTCCTCCGAGTTCTATCGCTAATGTAACTGAACAATTCCACAAACTATGTGCAATGGATGCACATGTCAAGACATGCAAGAGTAAAAAAATTACTGAATTTCTGACCTGATCTCTTTGAAGCCATCATTATGTCCATTAATGTAAAAATATAGCTTAATACACATTTCAATCCACAAATTTGGTTATTTTCCTGTATGTTTTGACTGCAAATGCGATAACCTTTTGAGGTATTTTTGGTACATTCTAACCTCACATTATATCACAATTATTTTACACAGACATTTTCATCTTATATAACATTAACCTGATTAAAAGACATAATATTCCTCATTAAAAATCTGAAAAGATAACTAATTTAATATTTCTTTTCTTTAATCATTCTTTTTAAATTTTTTAACTTGTTATTGATTCTGTTTTGTTCTCTTTTTATACATCTGTACCATAGCTTTTCATATGCTGAGAATAAGTGTTCAAGCTTGGTAAAATTTTCATATTTTTCCTACTTTGCTGGAATATCAGGTTATCACAGTGGTAAGTATGAAGATGGCTGTGTTCTGGGTTGTTGCACCATGTAATCTGATAGAACTTTACCAATGTTGCAGAGGTGTATGCTTCCAATGAAATGTCGGTAAACTTCTACTAGATTACATGGCACAACATCTCAGTAGAGAGCCAGCTTCGTTTCTGATTATGTTTGGGTGGCGTACCAAAGCGGTGTTATCTATCAGCCCCAACATCGCGTACAAGTAAAGCTGACAGGTAAATGGAAGCAAGCATGAATACAGCAGACCATAATAAAGACTGTAATGAGTGATTAACATGTTTCAATAGAAAAAAGTTGGTTAAAATCATAATAGAAAAGAGCCCACCAATAAGCAGTTGTTAATAAAATGTATATAAGTGTACCTAAAATCATAAAAGAGAAAAAAATATGCCCCTTTTGTTTGATCCTGCTTAAATTATCCAACATTTCAATCAATCATCAAATCTGTAGAAATTCTACATATAGTATAGTTTTATACACTATATATAAACATCTGGTTTCTTCCTTTTATTAATATTATATTCTTTTTTAAAATCAAATTTTCAACAGTTATCGTAAAACAGTTGTCTGTACAGTGTAAAGAACTATACTGTGTGTAAAACACACATTACAGAATGCACCAAAAACAAAGCTGAAATTAGAAATTCGCACAAAGTTACAACCCATAAGACTGACAACGATGAACCTTAGTTAAGTACATTTTGAACAATGAGAGAAGAGGCAGCAAGAATCCAAACACTGGTAATGGTGCTGCATAACCATAAACACATAAAATAATTAATAATTAACAAAGAAGATCACTTTCAATAACCAATTAGGAAGACATCATGTTATACACAGGATGAAATTATCGTCCTGTGTGGCCAAAACATAAATTAAATAAACTATACTAAAACTAAGAAACGCACAAATGCCCAGCAAATAACAACACTGCAATCATACATTATGCTACATTTAGCAAGCTAATTTACCATGAAGGGGAGACAATCACATCTGATTCATTCATGTGTAATAAGATATATCAGCTGATCCACTAATGTACTCACTATTGACCAGATGTCCTCATATATTTCTGATAAAACAGATAAGCAGTATCACTGCATTCAACATCTCATAGGGTAAGTAAAATGGTATCTTCAGCATTCATCATGCAACAATTTTATGCATGTCATATTCATTATGCCCCTGCACATAATTTTTCTTTTTACTGTCAACATTTGTAAATACATACATAAAAAAACACAGAAAAAACGTAGCACAATGAAATTACACAAAGGCTGCCACCAAAAATATCCCAGCACATTCCCAAGAGCCTCAACAAGTACATTTAACACAACTGAATCCAAAATCTGTAATTATAAATGTGACAACTCAAAATTATGAACATCATGAGAATCAATGTGAGAAATGAAAATTTTATGAAGTTCAGACTATTTTTAATATGCCTGGCCTTTCAAAAGATGGGGTAGGTTAAATGCAGTGATGATAATTAAAACAGGACACATTTGCTGCACTGTAATTTTTGCTATTTGTAACTAAGCATGACCTTGTGACAAAGCAGTGGAACAGAAAATATTAAAACTAAGATTAATAAGCTGAGTATGGAATGCCTCATCTGAAGCACTCAATTGGAAGTTTCCTTTCCCAAAAGATTCTACCACCATTTTCTAAAAGTATTTCACCACACAGCAGACTGTCTTTAGTTCTGTCTGCTGTGTGGTGATGTTCACAAATGATTCTTCTTTGATTATAAATTTGAAGCTTAAACAAGACTGGAAAGTGTAATCCATACAGGAATACACATGTTCTTTGCAAATTATGAATTCTTAATAAAAAAATATGTCAGTGTAGGATTTGAGGTTTTCACGGCAGTGAGTTTGAAGATGGTTGTCTTCTGGGTTGTTGTGCATCAACCCAGAAGACAGCCATCCTCACGGATATGTCACTTATTAGTTTCCAACTACAAAAATCATGCTTAATGCCTTCTTCAATCTTTTAGTGATGACTATATAAATTTCACATTTAGCCTCACAGCCAGAGTATATAGGAAATTAAATGCTTAAGTAATGTAAATCAATATTGCTATGTTATACGGCACATTAACTCTGTGGTAGCAAACTGCTCTCATAAGCATGGGGTCACAGGATTGAATCCTCATCAAGTCTTTTTTTATGTAGCCATCACGTTGTTACTTTATTGCAAGTGATGTTAGTGTCGACCCCACCACACAAGTTTGTTTGCCTCCCATATTGGTAATATTGATTGTGGGAAATTCTGAAGCACAGTTTTAACATATTTCCCAATGGCATAATGTCCATACAAAATCTAATCCAAATCCAGCCAGTTGTTTTCGAGTTGAATCGTGCAGACGGACAGACACGACCAGCCCTACATGCATTCGTTCCACGCATTGTCCAAAGAACACAAAACTATATGAATGCTTCTTGTAGTGTTTGGGGTACCCTGTTTCAAGATAACAAAATACACTTACATTTATTAATGACCATATTTTATGGCAACATTATCATCATGAACATTATAAAATATTTTACTACTGATCATAACAAATAAATAAATATTAATTGAGGTATGAAAGCCTCTAAAATGGTTTAGCTGCAAGGCAGTGCTGCATTCCAAAGAATCAAAACATGCAATGAGCTTGCTCCTTGATTACAATAAAAAAAAGCAGTTCCAATAGATTCATTAATAGATAGATTAGAGCTGAAGTATTTTGCTGCAAATTCATAACGCAACTAGATTCTCAGATCCAACCTCCATTATGTTCCAGACTGGCCAATGTATATCAATTTTTTCTTGTAATAGTAAGTGAAGAACAGAGAGCAATACAAATTGTGAATTGCAAAGCAAACATACTGGACCTTGAAGATCTGGCAGCATATAATTGCAAAAAAGAGCAGTAGTTTACTACAACCACTAAAAGCCAGTACACATAATCACAAACAATGAATGAACAAAACAAATACTGACATGTTAAAAAGGGCTTCAAACACGAGCAAGCAATGGAAAGCAAAGGATAGGAAGACTGAAATACAGAATGTGAAGAAAATCCTATTAGAATATGTTTGGATAGAGAACAGCATTAACAAAACTTTCAACCTTAAGAATCTAGTGAATATTTACCACTAGTACAGTCTGATACATCATTTAAATTTATAATGGTCAAATAATGAAATAATGGAGTCTATTGACATGAATATGCTGTCATCAAATTTCCATTCTGTTTCCACAGAAGATTAGTATGTTATAAAATTATATTTGACATAATTACAAATTATTAAAAAAAACAATAATTTTGTATTAGAAACATTACTATATATTTTGATTCAGGCAGAAATGCACACTTTACCTATGGGAGCATTTAACAATAAAATATGTACCAGTTCTCCAGCAAAATTTACTCTTTCCAAACAGATTCAGAAAACACAAGGCAAATAAATACAAAATTAGCAGCAATTAAGATTCTAAGCCAGCAACATCACCTGCAGTCATGTTTAGAGAGAGGAGATATTACCAATTGGACAGGTCCTAATGAACCTCCGCTTCGGTATTCTTGAAGACAGAAGAAATCCACTCCTATCCCTACACATGGAGTCTGTCTCTGTGTGTGTTGTATACATAGTATATATGACTGTCTCACTGCATGTTTCAACAGCGTGATATAGGGAAAGCAGTATGAAAGTATCAGCCACAAACCAACAAGCCAAGGGGTCAATCAATTTATGTAATAATTAATATGCAAAGATTTTGCCAAGTCCCACAGTGAACCAACAAACCAAACCCAAAGTGGAGATAAATGGCTATCTCAACATAGAATACAATAAGTATGATTTAAGAGATGCAACATGATTCACAGAAAAAAGACAACTAAAATCACATCGAAAAGAAACTGAAAACCACAAGGCATAAGACAAAAGATGAAGGGAAAAGGCAAAGGAGGGCAGGCAAACCGTCTGCCCAGAGAGGACTAGCAACTGTATCACGCCATCTAATATGAGAATAAAATAAATTAAAATACAGCAGAAAGTACAATAATTTTGATGTCTGTGTGTATGATTCAAGATAATTTCAAGAAATATTTCATGAAACCACAGTTCACACATGATCAATATTTCCCTATATTAGAATTAAACATAAAGTAACTTATAAACTGGTTAAAACACTGCAGTGGTATTAAAAGCTATTCAATACACCATTTAAAGACTTGTAAAACATGCAGCCTGGCTAAATTAGGTCAGTTATCTAAACTATTCAGATGGACATTATTCAAATCAAAAAGTATATAAATAATTTTTAAAAAGAGCCCACAAAATTGTTTTGCACTTATCAAAACTATTTCATAAGATAAAGGAGGGGAGATAAAATTAAGAACAAACATTCACATTTTTTATAAGTTAAAAAATCTCTAAGCAATGCAGTGCTACAGAGTGACCTTATGCCCATCACAAATGCTTCAAACTCACTTCAGTGCAGCTTAACTAAAGAAGACGTAACCACATGCAAGTGCCATTCATTTGTCCTCCTAACCATCAAGCATTAACGATCTGGTCGCACGTGTAAATAAGCCTCTCTTCGTGAATTTAATTCCAGTTGTGATTTTGTGTACCTCATCCACTGATGAATCATGTTGCATGGATAACTCTGATATCTCAAGAAACAAAGAATATCTACACAGAAATGCAGAAAAAAGAGAGGAACCTTACCTAAGAAACTGTACAAAGTGTATGCCTTTGAGTTTCTAAATAACACGTTAAAGAAATCACAGTTTGTGTCATGTGTAATTTAAAAATACTTGTAAGATTTGAGGTTTTCACAGGGGTGAGTATGAAGATTTCTGTCTTCTGGGTTGTTGCGCTGTGTAGTCTGGTCGATGTTAACCAACGTTTCAGAGGTCACACTGCCTCCGTCATCGCCCTGATGACGGAGGCAGTATGACCTCTGAAACGTTGGTTAACATCGACCAGACTACACAGCGCAACAACCCAGAAATCTTAAAAATACTTCCTTTAACAATTAAGGAAGATACTGCACACTAGTCATAAAATGCCACAGAATTAATAATAAATTTGGCAACAGCAGCTGCAGCTTGCAAATAGTAATTTCACATGACATTTCATCAAGTATTCTATGTTTTTTAATATAAAGGCACATTTTTGCAGAATTTCTTTGGCACAATGTGTTTATTATATGTTTTATGGTACTTATATTGTGTCCCTTATCACATTACCCCTTCTACTATTTTGTTGACATCCAAATTTTCAGTCATGCCACATGTCTATAAGCCATTTTGTGTATGGTAAATGAACTGAATCTATGTGTTTTGTCACTGAAATTTAATTCCCATAATTTCCAATTTGATGCAACTTATGGCTCTAACCATCATTTCCTGTAACCATTATTGACTGTGGTGTTTTGGGTCATCATGCTGTGTAGTCTTGCAGGTAATTACAAAATTTTAAAAGGAACATATCTCCTCCATCTTCAGGGTTGAAATTAATCAGACTGGGGATGTGAAATGTTCATACAGGACAGAAATAAAAAGTAAGTGAGGGGCCCTGAAAAGGGTAGCTCTAATAGGTCTGATGAGGACCTACTTCTGAAGAAGGTCCTGTCAGGAACAAGGGAATCCAGTAACAGCAAGTGATGGAATGGAAAAAGATGTTCCACAGACATAGAAACAAGGGTAAGAGAAGAGTGGCTGACAGGAATGCAGATAAAGGACAATGAGGAAACAAACAGCGACCAATGGGAGTCAGGATAAAAGGAATAAGAAAAAGAGAAAGCGGTGGTCAACAGGTTTGTAGTTTATTTATTTTTGGTTCAACAGGCATCCTTTGTGCTCTAGTGGGAGTGAAGAACACCTTTATGGGTCCATCCAAGTCTCATGGTTTTTTCAATATACACAGTCCATGTCTGCCCACAGTCCTCATAAGGGACATCCTCAAAGACTATCCTTATTAGGGACTCCCAATCAGCCTTCATCCCCAATCCCATCATTGGTTAACACTTTCTCTCACCCTTCTTTTATCCCTATTTACATTTGCTGCCACTTTGCTTACCTTTCATCATGTATCCCAATTCTCATTCACCACTCTCCTGTCACTTTTCATCCTTTTGTCTCTCTAGACTGCGACATCTTCCTTTCCACCACATACTATTACTGGTTTCCATCAGGCCATGGTTCCTCACATGACCCTCTCGGAAGTAAGCCTCTATCAGGGTCTCCCTAAGGAGTTGTCCTTTTCAGAGTCTCTCAGTCACATCTCTCTTCTTGTGTCCATCCTCCTCTTATATAAATGCCTCATGTCCCCATTCTGACTTATTTCAAACCTCAGGATGGAGGAGTATGTTCCTTCAAATCTTTGGTAATTATCTACAAGACTACAAGGTATCAAAACCCAGATCATAATCATAATCTTCACCACTGTGAGAACCACAAACTTTAAATTTTATAACTACAAAATGAATACTTTATGCCATTATAGAGATGAATGGAGAATGATCTATCATAAAACAATTCCAACCTTGAGAAAATATCAACAGATGATGATGATGCTTACAAATTATGTGTGTCATGATGTGTTTTCAATACGAAGCAATTTGGTTCTATTACAATTCTAATATGATTTAAGTTACAGGCAGAAAGAACCGAAACTGTCATTTTCATTTTTGTTAACACTAGTGTACGCATATGCGCAGGCATACAGAAAGACGGGGAGGGCATTTGTTTCCAGTTAAGGAAATGTTACGCGTAAGTTAACTGATGACCTAAATATTTCCCATCGATGGATGAACTTCATAACAGAAATAAACAGATGAAACCAATCGGCTTGTTCTGTGAATTTTCATTGACTGCCTAGAGCATTTGTCCCTGATTTATAGGTGTCACTGTGCTACTGAAAGTATTAGCTGTTGGTACTTGCATCTTGGAAGAAATTTTCATGCGTGTTATGTGCAATGCTAAATGACATCAACTTCAAAATTCTTTCAACAAGATTAATTTGTAGAATCAGAAAGGCTTACAGTTCTTTAAGTTGCTAATTAAACAATGTAAAAACATTAACAAGCACAAATTCTCTCTCCAGACTTTATTCTGATAAACTGTATTCTATGTGAGACCCCATACTCATCAACCTGAAAGGGCCTACCTGAAACTTGGAAAGCGCTGTACCCCTTGGCAACTTCCCATAGTCTCAGTTGTTGCAGACAGGGGAGGAGAATTTGCATGAGGCAGAACATTTCCACCACTACATATGGTGTCCAGGGGAACGATGGCCGGCGTTTTTCTCCGCACTTTGAAAGCTCTGACTTCTTGTTTATCCCCACTGTGTTCCACTGTTGCTGTTGACAGCGTTCCATTTCTTCCCCTGTTCAGTGAACTTTCC